TACAGTAGTATAACGACATATGACTGATGACCGCCTTTTGTCTCCGAGGCTACCAGTAAACGAGGAAAATCCAAAACGCCTTGTCATTCAAGGGATTCTTTCATCCAACAACGTCATTTAATACATTCAATATGAGTGGATCAACGAGACCTTGCCCATTTTGTGGCGCTGGAATCCAGCTGGGACAAACTAGCCGTGGCAGTGGTACCAAGGCATCCACCATCTTGAAGGTAGTGGGAGTTGCCATCGCTGTTCCATGCGCTGCTGCCACTGTTGCTGGCTTTGGCGCGGGTGGCGTTGCGGCAGGTTCTGCGGCGACAATGTGGCAGGCGTCATTCGGTAATGTTGCAGCTGGAAGTGCCTTTGCTGCATTGCAGAGCGCTGGAGCTGCAGGTGGGTTTTATTCGGGAATGGCAGTTGGAGGTACATCCTTTGGCGCTGGGAAGTGGTGGGAATCATCCAAGTACAACATGTTCAACAAAGAAGGTAGAAACGGAAAGGACGGTGACAGCGGTGTCGATGGTGTGAACAAGAAGAGTTCTGACAGGACGGAAAGCAAACCCGATGAAGGGGACGCTGAGCAAATTTCGGTGACATGCCCTCACTGCAAAAAGTCATTTGAAGCATTGGTTTAAAAGTCCTCCAGCATCCGGCTTCCATTCAATAAGGATCAATGGGACGGATGGCATTATTATAAAGTAATTTCAAGTTTTGGACTTTTACTTCATGAAAAATGGATGCAGCGTTGCTAGTAGATACACTATATAGAAGAGTTGAATGATTCAGAGACAGAATCTATGGTTGCAACGTATGCACGTTCGACAGGTTCGACAGCATGCTAGTAACTACATGGGGCGGGAGAGTAATTCTGACTTTTCGGCCGCGTCACCTCGTCAAGAAAGGGAATCACATTGGATAAGATGGAGTCTGAGCCAGAATAGATGCGACAGTGCTCCCGATTAACATGGGTAGCAGCCACAGAGGTCTTGTTTTCTAGTTCAGTATGCTGAATGCTGGATTTCCACACAGCCAATTCCAAATTAGAGAGGATCTCCATTCGTTGGTATATCTCTGCCTTTTCGTGGATTGCTTCCACGTGAACCAACCGTTCCGTTCGATCCTCTTTGTTCGGAAACGACGACAGTCTGCAGATACTATCTTCTGTGTCTTGTTTCCAACGATCGAGCCTCCAGCTGTGAAAGTGGCCGCTAAATCGCAATCCTATCAATAACTGGAGAATGTCAATGGCATCGGATTGATGAGCCCTTGCGATTAACGATGTCCAATATGGCGGCATCGCAGCTCCTTGACTGTGCTTTTCAGAGATAGCTTCCATTTGGGCTCTTATCAGCGTTTCGACAACACTAACGGGCGCCTTTCGAGCGCAGGCATAGTGAGCAGGACATTTGTTACCATTTGGCGCCGACACAGTGACTGGAAACTGTTGAACTAAGACTGGAACCAAATCATAGTTTGGTTTCGGTGCGAGCATCAAAATGTCCAAGGGTGTCATATCCAGTCTGTCTCTTTTCGTTTCGTTTTCAGTTGAAACACCTGAAGTTGCGATCTCGGACAATTCCATGGCGGCTGCACCGTCATCAAAGTAGATGCTTTTGTGTAGCCATAGCCCTTTGAATCTATTTCTAAGGGTTTCCTCCATTGCTTCATCATCACAAGAATCAAACATTTTACCATTCACAGCATTTTGCAATTGATGGCATTTTCCAAATGCCCATCGCCCAACATACGTCACGCTCGATGGTATCGCAACATTGCGAAGTGCGTGTGCCCCGTAGAAGGCATAATCACCTATCGTTTCAAGTTTGCCTTTTTCATGAAGTCCCACTGACACCAAAGCGGACAGGTGCGAAAAGGAACCCTTGCCCAAAATTTTCAATGTCGAAGGAAGCTGTATATATTCAACGGATTGGCAACTCATGCTAAAGGCCTGGTCTCCAATGACTGTGATGCCTTCTGAAAGATCCAAAACCTTTGAATTGTCATCTGATGAAGACAGATTTGTGCAATATTCAAAGGCGTGGGCTCGGATTTCCTGCAGGCTGTCTGGAAACTCTACTATTTGCAGCGAAGGACAGAAGGTGAATGCTGATTCTCCAATCACCCGCAGCCCTTGGGGTAGGCGCACTTGTACCAAGAGACTCAAGTCATTCAGAGCATTTGCTGGCAGTTCCACCAAGGATCCACTCACATCCACATGGGTAGCCTCGAGGGCTACTTCGGATCGATCTTGTCCATTATATTTACAAATGGTCAAAGTTGATGGTGGTTGTGAGGATGAGGTCATCCTTCCATCCAGACCTGGTGTTGGAATTTTGGTGCCGGTGCTGTGTGAGGATTAGGATTGATTGATTCTGCATGCCCCAGAACCCAGAATATCGCGTGACTCCTACTAGTCGAATATCCACGTCAGCATACCATAGCCATCGTATCGACGACAACACCACTGCACGACCCAAACAAACCCACATCTCACTTAAGACCAAACACAGCAGCATCATGGGCGGAAAATCTCTAGTAACTTCGCACGGCGTCTTCTTTGTGGCTGGCTTTGCCTTGGGAAAATACGTCGATCATGAGGAACTCATGAACTACCGAGACGCTCATGAAGGCTTTGGTTCCCGATGGCGCCGACGTGCTGGAAATGCAGCGCTTGGTGTCGCGGTCCTTGGTGCCATGACTGTCGTGTTGAAGGTCACCTCACGCAGCAGCGGCAGTCCGGCACCGGCCACTCTCTAAATAGAACTACAGATGATTCTTCGTCAAGAGGATTGTTGATAAGAACCTAGGATGTGTAAAATGATCAATCAGACAGGAGTTTCGGTTCAGACGCGGGATAGGCTCCGCCGAGAGACTTTTTCACCGGCTAGCTTGTGATTTTCGATGAGTTTGAGGATGCGATCAAGTTTTCATCAATTTGAATATGAGATGCGACATGGTGATCGTTGAAGGAAGGGTTTTCTTGTCTGTTCAAAGCCTGGATATAACTAGGAGGAAGCATAATTAATCTATATATATATACAACAACAATATTTTTTCGTCCGAGAATAGTATCAGGAGAAGATGTTACATAGTGACTGAAGCAAGGCCTGAGTTCTGATGTATTAGCTACTAGCAACAGCTAAGAAGAAAGCCGAGACGAAATGATAACAAGTACAGTAGCTTGACTTGCTACCGTAGGTCCTACTATGTCGGGTCATATTGGGTAGCTGTTAAAGAATAATATTGTTTGACTTCTAATCAATAATTTAGTAGTGCTTTGATTATTGGTTTAGTCCATGCAACACGGTTGTATGGAGACTCCGAGACTTGACATCTTCTGATTGGTTTTCAATCGCCGCGGGAATCGGATGGGTCCAATGTCATTTTTGGCGGGAATTATGCTTGCGCTCAATGGCGTGGACCCTTCTAAGTATTCTTGTCTTACGGTTGTCTTTTGCGGTTACGAGTGCATCGTTACATAGCGTCGAATCATAGATACGACTGATGTAAATTTTTTGTCCTCTGGTCGTCTGGGGTTGGACGTATCTATGTGACCAATCCATTTTCCGTTCAGTACACTTGCGTACTACAAAGCTCCGAGTCCTTGGCCAAAAATGGCTCGACAAGGCCAAATATTTTATCCCATTGCAAGCACGAGTAGATGGAGGGGCGCCAAGAATGCCCTTCATCGTTAGCAAAACCAGAAGCAACAATATTAGAGCACTAGTTTATATAGAGTCCAGGTTTCGGTAGCAATCACAGGTGGGACGACTGGCTGGGCGCAAGTGATCATTGGTTTCATTAGGAAAAGTGGCTGGCATGGAGCAGGAAAAGAGTGACCAGAGGCTAGAAGAGAGTGAGAAAGACATGAAACGTGCACCTCTCCCCACTGGTGACGCTATGGCATCCACAGGTCCGGGCAATGACCAACGAGTCTTTCCTGCATTGACCAAAGAATTCGTCCGGATGATGGAGGTATGTATGATCGCCTTGGATTCAGCAACCCTTGTTGCTGTGACTTGTTGCTGTGACTTGTTGCTGTGACTATGATCGAGTGTTTGTTTCTCATTCACAACTTCTTTTTATCTTGTAGTCGTCCCAAGACGGAAAGGTGGATCTGAAAGCTGCTTCACAGGAACTAAAAGCCCCGAGGTCCACCGTAGATCATATCTCGAGCATATTGGAGGGTATCCAGTTTTTGAAAAGGATATCTTCAGATGTTGTTCAGATGATACGGTCATCAGATCATCACAAATTAACAGAACGGTTAGAAAAGGCTTGGAAGGAGCAATCCACTCTTGACGGGCAGTTGGAATCATTACGAGTAAACACTCCTGAAGGCGAACAAGGAGACAAGAAGCCAGCTGAGACCAATGAAACTCCAAAACGCCCCCTGAGTGGCAGCACTAAAGAAGAGCCAGAGATGATTGGCAAACGCACCCTTCTTTCTCCTTATCCTACAAAATCCTCCAGCAACACTTCCCCTTCCTCCACATCCTATCCCCGACCTGCCTCAAGGCGTCGAACCACACCGGTGTACATCTTTGGACAAAGCACACCGTTTAAGAAACAATTTACACCAGCTGACCGCTTGGTACAAGTATCCTCTGAAGATACAGACGAGAGCATCCCTTCCAGCAAATCGGAAGCCTCAAACTTTAGCAGTCCTGAATCTCTACCCCACCCCCTCTCTCCCGCTGCCACTGTTCGAAATGCCAGATCACGGGTGCTATTGTTGGCCAATAGTCCTGATCACGATCCTGCTGCATCTTCTAGTGGCAGCACAACAACAACAACAACAACAACAACAACGCCGAAAAAGAGCAGCATGAAGCCAACGCCTTCTGCTGCTGCTGCTGCTGCAGTAGCCACTAGAAAAGCACCAAAAAGCTCCACCCGGAAAGATTACGATTTCAGCAAGAAACGAGTACCCTCGTTTGTCTCGAAACCAAGCTCAGGGGACGAAGTAATCAAACGTCCCAAGAAGAAGAGTGGGTAGACCGTATCCACAAGGTCGAGGCAGTCAGTCAGTCAGTCAGTCATCTGTTAAAAGTACATATCGCCAAACCTTTGCTATGGATAATACCAAAATATCGCATAACAATAACGTCACCAGTAACAAAATAAGATGTGTATTTGCAAGTGGTAAATAATTTTGAAGCATTGCATTTTTATTATAATTTTCAATCCTGTGCAAGTTGTTCATTTAACTTTTCTTGCAGCAGCAGTTGGGAGTGCTCTATTTGTTCAATGTACCAGTTGGGATTCAACACAGGCTCCACAGTGGGAACTCGTTTCAGATGAATCCCTTGATATTCCCCACCATGCATGATTGAAGCGTCGACAGTTGTAAACTTTGAGTCTTCTGTCGAATGTTGTTGGCGAATGCAAGCAATACCATCGTCAGGTAAATTGTGAATGTTGTCGTCAAACAGCAAGTGGTGACAAAATACTGGTGGTTCCTCTGCTTCCTTGTCGCTGGCAGGAGGAGCAGGAGGAGGAGTCCTGGGAATCCAAACCGGTTTGCCACTAGTTGGAAGCCAATGAAACTTTTTCCAATGGTTGTAGTCATCTCGAATTCCAAAAATGGTCCCGCTATTCAATAGCTTCAAGATTTCATCTTCATCCTTGGCCACCACATGGGTTTCGGTCAAATCCCACAATTGATAGATCACAGCACCATCTTGTTGTTCCTCCGATTCTTTCCATCGCCCTTGAAATAGCTGATCAGGTCCAATCTGCAACCAAGGGCAGTCTTGTTCCTTGGCAAAGTCGGTAACCCATTGGGCCACTTCTTGAATGTCCGAACCAAAGGTACGAAAGACCAAGGTGGTTGGATTATTGGAAGTAGATTGTTGTTGTTGTTGTTGTTGTTGTTGTTGTAAGTATTCGAGGATATGATAAAACGCCGGTAAGAGGTGTGGATGACGATTCCTGGAAGCTTGGGCCGCAGAAGAGGTATCAACTGTAGTGGACAATAACAATCGTTGGCATTCTTCCCAAATGGGTTTGTAAATCTTTCCATGATGTGGATGTTGCCCTGTACTGGCTGAGACTATTTCCTCTTCTGTGGATTTTGAAACAAATTCCTTGCTGTATTTCTTGAACTTGGTTCGATAATAAGGACAGGTGTTAGGTGGCCACTCCCACCCTGTATACAATGGCGGCATGGATGTTTCGTGTCCAATCCTTTGGCCATCCCACCAATGGGTAGGTTCTACTTGTTGGGTATTGTCCCAGTCCAATTTCTTGTCGCTCAAAGTTGGCAACTGACAAAAGGCCGACTTGGCCAACATTTTCTGAATCGAATCGCTGGTCGAATCCCCTCCCGCATCATCTCCCAACAAGATGGTTTCGTTAATGTCCAAATGAAGGACCAACCTTGTTGGGATCTTATTCTTGTTTTTATTTTGCCCTTGCTTGTCGTTGTTCTTGTTGGAAGAAGCCTGTTGCGAATGATCATCATCCTCATTCTTATCACTGGTAGTAAAGCTTCTGGCAATCCATCCGTCATAATCCTTGTTTGTAGAAACGGACATTATGTTTGTTGGGTACCGTTGCCGTCTTTTGTTGTTGTTGTTGTTGTTTTTGTTTGAAATAATCCTGTAATGATGACAATAAGGTGATGGAACCAATGAGTATGATGATGCCAATGGCAATGCCAAGAAGAACAGCGTAGCTATTGGTTGGAGTATGTACATCCAACACTTGCCGTGTAAAATGGTATTTTGTATGCATGTCTTGTGTTCACGCTTCCTCATTTCTCCGTTTCTCCAATAGTTGGGTAAATACAGTATTTTTGTCTCGAAAGCGACTTGACTCACTCTACCGGTATACACTACAGTATTCGTTGGACCATTGCCAAGCTTCGACTAGTTGCAACCTATTGGCACTTACTTTTGGGTTCTACCTCAATCGTTGTTCTGTAGAGAGAGTATCTGTATGTTTGTAAATGGAGAAAACACCACAACGACCCCTTCGTTTGAAAAATCCAAACCCGCGGCCGACGCCCACGTCTGAGCAAACCCAAAGGTAGGAATGAATCGATCAATGGCCTTCCCTTCCATGAGGATGATAGACGATCAAACCTCTTTATCCACCCATAATGACATCAAAAGGGCAGGGCAGCGTTGCTATTCCATCATTATCCTACCGTACCATTTTGTTTCGCAAAAAAAAAAGTGATGGGCTGAAGGAACGGAAAGTTCATTTAAAAGGTCACTGGCAGAGAAAACATTTATATGGTGGAATTTGGTCTTGAAAAATGAAATTATTGCCATGATCTTATTTAAAATTGGTCACAGATGACAGAAGCCGCCGTCCAAGTACCAATCAAATTGCTTCACGAATGATTCCCCTTAACAATTATAACTTATGTCCTGTCCCGGCAGCCTCCGTGAAAATTTGAAGTTGACGAGGCACGAGTGAGTGGCGAACGAATGAATGAGTGATGTACGTTCTAAAGCACCACGAAGCAAAAACAATCTCCAGTGAACATTGATGGAAGCCTACAACATTAATAGAACCAATCAATCAATCAATCAATCAATTCTGCACCAACTCTACACGTAATCTACAACATATCAGAAAAGGGAACCAGTTTTGAAGGCGTTGCAATAAACTGAGGACAACACACAAGTACAAAATGTTCAAATTACGACGAGGTTCCGGAAGTGGAATGGGAAAATCCAAAAAGGAGCTTCGTGAAAGCTCTAGTGGAAATGCTAAAGCGGTGGCTGCGGATCATGCTGGCACTGTGGGTGACCACAGTCGCTCTCCCCAACGTCCGTCCAATAAATTGCGTCCATTACGAGAAGAACTGAAACAACCAAAACAGCAACCAGCAGAAGCATCCCCGTCCGCACCGCCGAAAGAACGACTGTTTCCAGGACGCAAATTCGGTTCGTTTGCCATATCTCCAAAATCCCCATCCTCCCTGCGTGGCCGAATGTCACTCTTCAAGCGAGCCTCTAGTGTCAAATCAACGAAGAAGAAGAAAAAGAGAGAATCCGATGCGGTCGACGATTGGTTTGACGAAAAAAAAGAACAAAATTCGACACCCACCCGAAAATCACCCAAACCGCCTACCAGGGGAGCCTATTACACTGCCCCTATCGATAGATCCAATCGAAAGGTGAATTCTGCCAACGTTCATGGCATGTCAGGATTGTCCTTTATGCCGAACCTAGCTGCAGACGAACAAGAGACTTATGAATTGGATTTGCCAGATGTCGAAGTCTTGGAGACAGTTCCCAAAAAGAAGGGAAGATCCAAAAAGCGAGGGAGTCGCCGACGACCACCAACCTCGGCTCCAGATTTGTCACCCTATCAGACATCACCGACAGCCTCGTCGCACTCTTCCAGATCTCAAATAAACACTGCGAGTGCCAGACCTACCTTGTCCAAGTCCATGCGGTCCCAATCTGCCCGATCCCCATCCCCCTATTCCATGACCAAAGACAAGATGTCCCAATCCATGCATACCGAGTCGCCCTATATTCGTCCCAAACAAAAGGTGGATTTGTCCCAATCCATGCGATCCACATCTTCCACTCCCGCGGCAGCAGCAAAGTCCACCACATCCTCCTCGTCGTCGCAAGGAGGAGGAGGTTTGTCACGACGACAAGAAAAATTACACACGGAACGAGAAATGGCAGAAGAATTTACCATTGGTCAAGTGGTGGAGTTACACGGTTTGAAAAATGAGGAAATGAATGGCCGCAAGGGTCGGGTGTATGGCAAAAAGAAACATTCCGACCGGTATCACATTGCGCTATTTGTGGAGGACACATCAGTGCCGCCAACGAATGAGGAAGAAGAGGAAGACGATTATGTGGCCATTCGACCTAGGAATATGAAATTGTATACGAAAAAGAAGGAAGCAGATATAGAGGAGCCTGCTGCAAAGGAGGAGACGACAGTGCCAGAAACGAAAATACCAAAAAATATTGTTCCAAAAAAGAAAAAGGCAAAGAAGCAAGAAGCGGAAAAGAAGTCAGTCGCACAATCACATCAACAACAAGTGCAGCCTGTCGAGGAAGAGGATCATTCCGACGAACGACAACAACGACCACCCACCAAACCACTTTCTTCACGTTCCATCAATACCACCAATACCACCAAGAACAGCAGCACGAACCATCACAAGTCCGACATTACAGTGGACGACTTTCAGATTGGGGAATGGGTACGACTGCAGGGCCTCCGAACAGAAACCATGAATGGCAGAGAGGGTTATGTCTATGGGATGAGTGAAGATCGTGTCCATGTGGTCATTGACCAGGTGGGGGACATTGACACTAATCTCAAAAATTTCATGCAAGATCAGGACTATGTCGCCATTTGGCCGCACAATTTGGTGTTGCTGGGAACGAAACAGATTTCTTCGGCGAAACGGAAATCGGGTGGTATCGCCGCGTCGTTTTCGTCGTCGCGCAAATCGGGTGGCATCGGTGGGTCGTTTGAAACCTTGCTCAGCGATAGCGAATGGGAAACCGACACGGATGATGAGCATGATGATGATGAAGAAGAGCTTGCCGACGAGGAGGGACGAAAATCGACCGGGGAGGCAGCCTCGAGGGCCTCTCAGAGCGATAGCGATTGGGAGACAGATACAGATGATGACAACGACGACAACGACGCGATTGCAAACTCAGATGATGATGATGATGACGACGAGATTGCAGATGACACTCTACTAGATTCGAGTGACGACGACGAGGCCACCGATATGAAGTCTCTGGACGACGATATTGACGAGCGAGTCATCAAAGTGGACGATATTGAGAGCTTGGACGGTGATATTGAGGCTTCGGATGATGATGATGATGAAGATGATTCGGATAATGATGATGATTCAGACGAGGAATCCTCCATTGCGCTCGAAATGATCTCGGAAAAGTCTCAATTTAGTGCTCCCAAAACAACCCCACCCGGCTCGTACAAGAAAAAAAATCCTTCAACAACAAAAGATACGGATGCAACTTCCATCACCATTGAAGAGATTGAAGAGGAGGAGAGTGGAATTGATTTTGAATATGCATCAACTTCTGACGACGAGACTTATGAAGTGGATTTGAAGGACGACGACGATATAAAGGATGCCAAAGATACGAAAGAAAATGAAAAATCTCAAGTTCTCGATTGGTATCATTGCTCCGTAATGCTCAGCGTCAACATGTCAGATGATGATGAAGAAGAGGACTCATGTGCGCCCCCGGTCAATGACACCAAGGATGACTTTATATCCAACATGCTGTCAGACGATGAAGACGATTTGCACGGTGATTGCAACGAGCTTGTTGCCAACAAGCATGCAGAGCGTCCCCAGAGTCGAAAGTCACATGCTGCTGCTGCTGCTGAAGCTTCAAGTGTACACAAGAATCACTTCTCTCTTGAAACTGCTGTTGACAAGGTCAAGGAAGCGATAATGCACGAGGAGATGTTGCTAGATTTGAAGAAAAGGGGTCTATCTCACGAGATTCTCTGTGTTGATGACGATGACGCTAGTGTAGTCACCATGTCGGATGAATCTTACATGGTGGATTTGATGTCTCAAATACAGCAGCGAAGTTCACTTCGTCAAGAGGAACTCTTGGAGATGGCATTTGACCTTTTTTCACATCTTGCCAGCAGCAAAGACGGCCAATTTGATGGCCAGAGCGAAGAAGTATTTTTGAAGATTCATCAGCAGGTCACGGCGAAGCATGGCCCCGAGTTGAAAGAGCGAGATGATGCCAAAGATAGAAAACTGAAGAAATATCTTTCGGCAGTGCATCATAAAAAGTATTGATGATCAAATATGTAATAGCTGTAAATTTACACCTTGGTTAGATGCGATGAGCGAGTTGGGGTGCAAGCGCTTCAATCTGCTCGTGATTATCGTGTTTGTGCCTTGCAACAAATGAAATTACCTACAAGAGTCAGCAGGAAACAGATGAAGATTGGAGCAGTTGTGGTTAAAAGGTCTTCTCTGAATCATTTCATGCCACATGCTGTACGTGGTACTAAAAACTGGATAAAAAAGCACAGTTTCACATTCTGATTTTAGAATACCGCCAACATTTGTGAGGGACGGTACAATATAGATCAGCTGTTTTGCAAGGTCTGATCTGACTCATTTCAGGACATATTATGTACCGGTAATAATAAAAACTGGCTAATAACGTACTTTCATATTCTGATTGAGAACGCACAGTACCCTGGTACCTGGTACCGTAGACAGGAGCGGTACCGCTACCAAGGTACCTACCCTTTATAGTGTGATCGGGCCGCTGGAGAGGAGCCTTTTGTCCAAATTTGAGATTCACATGATGTCTCTCATAAATTCGTAAGGACATTGTTGATAAAAGTCGTTTATAGAAAATGCCATCACATTCGCGGATGCAATGAGATAGAATGGTGAAGATCATCATTTGGTAGCATTTCGAAAATTAAATAGCGCATCAATAAGTATCAGAATAAGTTTCGGAATTTTTCGACCCAAACTTTCTTTAAGTACAGGCACCGACGTTCAGAGTCCGGTCGCCTTCTGTGGAAGTTTCTATTACAGGTGCCAGCGAAGAAGAGCAAACTAAAACTGATGGGTTCACAAATTTCGAAACAGAAACAAAATGACCGCCCGAACATCCAACACCAGCCCTAGGCCCACAGTACACTTCAATGAAGTTGTCCAGTTTGATGATGACGACTCCGGCTGTCTCTGCGTCGAAAAGACCAAACCCCGCATTCCGATATCGACGATGGAACAAAGTCGATGGCTTCCCTCTCTGGACTCACCAGAAAGTTCTGATAAGAAGGGAAGCAAAGCCATGCCCTTGAGGCGTGAGATCATGAAGGATGATTGCCTTCCATGTCCACCGATGCCACCACGGCTGCCCATTCGATGGCCTTCAAGTCCAAGTCTCAATATGATTTCAGAGAGGAAGAATGTATCAAGTACAACAGCTTCCTCTTCTAGCAAGACAATATCCTTCGTGCCTTCAGAATAAAGTTTCTTCTGACAAGACATGGTTCTGATGCACATTTTTGAGCCGCCAAGGCGAGCTGCTCAAGTTTTGAGTTCATTGAGCCAACATTTTTCGAAGTATAGAAACAACATAAAAAGATAATTTTCATTCATTCCCCACATTCCACCAAAGATTCAATGCCTACAAGTACTGCCATTAGTATCTCAAAGTGAAAACGTCCAGAAACGGCGTCAAGCATTATGACATATCCATTATTGCTAAATCTGTATTGCTATTTCTACTATCATAGCAGGTCGTCTTATACTAGGACTGAACTTTTTTCGGTCACAGCGATATCAATTTGATGGTTTTGGACAGATGTCGTTACCAAAGACAAATGCAATACGATCATATGAAATGATATGTATTCGCCTGATAAGAGATGATGCACGAACCTCATGCACCTCAGTCTTTCTTGATCTTGCTTGCAAGCTCCAAAACCTCTTCCTTGGAAATCTCCTATTCATTACGAACATTGGCGGCTGATTAAGACAAATATCCTTCCACACACAATCAAGTTCTGACAGCTTCTCCTTACCTGATCTTCTCCTGCAAACGGGTGATCTGGGGTCAAAAATAGGCAGCATTGACAAATCTTGTCTACGTATCAGCAGGAGACGATGGTATTGTGAGCGCAAGTACAAAACATCAAGCTACACGAACCACCCGAGAGTACGCCGAACTTACCTTCCCGCATGGGGACACATGGACAGTTCCAGTATCCCTTTTGGCATGAAAAATAATAGCGAAAGATTGTAATGAATGGACATGCAAAATATGAGGATCATCAACAACGAATGAATTAGAAATCAACAATCGCAAATACAGAATGCCAAAAAATCGACGCCGCATTGCCGCACCTTTTTTGCTTCTTCCTCCTTGTTTTCATAAAATCGGCAAGGGCAGAGCGGCTTCCCAAGCTCTACCTTGTGTTTGGCAAGTCCCTTGATGACTGCCGCGGCCACTGCCTTATCGGTACACAAGGTAGTCTCGGATCGTTTCGTATAGGTACTGGTGAACTTGGACATGGCACCAGTTGCCTTATCAATGGCGGCGTCGTACTCTTCTTCCGTCATGCCATCTGCCTTATTGCCCAATACCATTATGGATTGGGAACGCGAATGCCCAATATGTTTAGAATTCAAAATGTCATCTGCCTTGCCGACGATTCTTGATTGGGAATGACCAACATTTGCATTCAAAGGAGCAAAAGCTGTCACTCCTGAAGCTAAGGCGACAAATACAAGTAAATAGGAGCGAATCATGATATTGACTACCGGTATGAATGAATGCTGTACAAATGGAATTCGATTGGGAGAAGTCAATTGATGTGTTCGCATGACACCGTCGTTAGAATGAATCATGCGCACCTCATCGTGCGACGAAAAGGTACTTTGTGAGCCCTTGCCATCAATCCAGCATGCACGCGGCCAGTTATCAACGTACTCGAAAAATATCGATCCGTTAAATTTGGAACGCTCTGATTCGCTGAGAGGTATACGATCCAAGATTTGGAGAGTGACAGGATTTTCAGCATGATTTTTTCTTTCTGAAAAATTGGCAGTCTTGGTTACTTCATTCTCACTAACGTATCTTCTCAATCAAATAGAGGCAGTCATGGACGAAGATCCAAAGGAAGCCAAGAAAAAATATGCTAATAGAGAAAGTGAGGTCAGCATCTTTGCCAATCCAGCGGTATGGAGTGAGCAAGCAGAAGCACTGTACGCGAGGGGAGAGCCTCAACAACCCGGAACCCATTCTGAAGCGGTTGGAGATACAACCAAAAGTGATGGTTCTGTCTTCAGTTTGAGCACCTTTAGTGACATCAGCAACTCGTTAAAATATGCAATGGGTTTTTCGGACCCTTACGGTGATGACAGTTATCTCCAGCAAGAATCAAGTATTGAGGGGCAAGAATCCAAAATTGATCCTAATAACACGTCTGAGTCCATCGAACAAAAGCCAAAGCCAAACCAAAAGCAAAAGAAGCACGATAACTCTCAAGAGAAACGAGATCTGCAAACTTATTTCGACCAGCAGAATGATCAGGATAGCCATGACAGAAAGCATCGTAACAAACAGAAAAATCACCAAAACAGTCATCTGAAGCATCAGCAGCACAGGAGCAATCGTATTGTTCACCAAAAGACACAATACAAAAATGAGCCACCAAGGACTCCACAACGCACCAAACAAGAAGAAGAGCAGTATGCCAAACGAAATGAAGCCATTCATACTATGACGCCTAAGACGGAAGCATCCAACAGTGAAAGTACCGCCCTTATGGCGGCTCCAATAGACGAGAGGTGCTGTGGTATCTTCCGACGGGCCTTTGAAGAGGAAAATGTCTTTCGACGGCTGATACATACGTCCGTCGCCATGCTCATCATCTTTTCAATCCTCTCCATCTATGTGATTATCCGATCTTCCGAGGCCAACCAAGCCAGGGCGGCTCTGGTGCCAAGTCCGACGACCCTTTCGCCTCAGTTGCCGACCATGATTCGACTACCGTCCAGTTCTCCGGGGATTCGGCTATCCCAAGAGACACCTGCTCCATCCAAGTGGGTCCCAACCGTGGCACCCACTCGTCTGACAGCAACATCATTAAGAGAGACTGTCTTGCAAGCATTTCCCGAAGCCATTACTGCAATTGACGATCCCTCTTCGGCCCAATCCCGAGCACTCGCTTGGTTGACTTCGGACGATTCCATGGATGCCTTCTTTGTGACGGAAAAATTGATTCAGAGATGGGCAATGGCCGTTCTATATTACAGTACGAATGGTGAAGAATGGAGAACTCAAGACAAGTGGTTGACGAATCATGACGAATGTGAATGGCACACTGCTGATCCTTACACTTCTGTTTGCAACGACGATGGGTTGGTGTCTAGTCTTCACTTGCGAAACAATGGCTTGAGGGGCACGCTGCCCGATGAATTGACATTGCTTTCCAATTCTCTTGGTAAGTGTATGAGCGAAATTGAAAGTTGAATTTAGAAAACCAAAATCGGCTGACACTTTCTTCTTTCGTGCAGAATTCTTGTACCTGAACGACGGAATGCTAGAAGGAACTATCCCAGCTTCCTATGGCAAGCTCTCGAACCTAAGTACGTATGCATGGATTAATTGATTTTTGATTGATTCAGTCCATCTCGCCATCGCAGCACGATCCTATGCTCACAAATGATTCATGCTTCTTGTTCCTTTAGAACGCTTTTACCTTCAAGTCAATCAACTCAGCGGTTCGATTCCTGGTGAAATCAGCGGTATGGAAATTCTAGGTAGGTGCTTGATGACCTTACTCGTTCCTCTTTTGATTCTTCTGGTAACTCAAAATTTCTTCCAAACACAGAAAATCTTGCGCTTGGGCGGAACCAATTGAGCGGAACGATTCCAACTCTTTTGCAGTCCATGGATGAATTGAGACTCATTGACATGAGCTCTAATCAAATCGGAGGATCCCTCCCGACCGTGTTGGGCAATCTTCCTAATTTAGGTGAGCATTCCTTTGATGGACTGACTACTTAACGAATGATGCCCTTGCCTTTGTATTTCACATTGTTCCTCATTATTCCACATCGCTTTGCAGCTTCGTTCTTGGTAAATGAAAACAGGCTGACGGGAACGATACCGAGTGAATTTGGAGACCTTGCCGCCCTCACCACTCTTTTGGTCCAAGACAACCGTCTAACTGGAGCGATGCCACGGCAAGTGTGCGAGATGCGAAACACCAAGACATTCTTTTGGGTGATAGTGGATTGCAATGCAGTCACTTGTATCGAAGAATGCAGATGTCAATGTAGTTAGTGATCAATAAAATCGTTAGCTAGATATGTTACCGTTTTTGTTGTTCTCGAGATATCCCCAAAAACATTGTAACACTCGGAATCACACCGTCCGATCCACAAACGCACCGGCACTCTTCCCGTTCAAGCGCTTGTTGCTGAGGCGTAGCATTGTTCAATCCACCCTTGAGTTGCGCTTTCCACAAGGCCATCTCCAAGATCGATGTGGCTTCCATGCCTTCGTACTTTGCAAAGGCAGAATACGCCGCAGTGCACAAATATGCCCTTTGTTCCTTGCTGACCTCATCAGAAAGTATATGTTGAACCTTGTTCTGGATTGCTTCTGTCCAGGATGTAGCACCCCAACGGACAAGTGGGCCCACAACCCCCCTTTGCAGGATCATCTGCAGCAAAATCTCGTTTTCTCGAGTCCAGGTTTTGCTCACCAAGTACTCACTTGCTAGCTTGTCGTTCGCATCTCTCCAACCGAGAGCATTGTATGGATACTTCTCAAGAAGAATTTCAAGCAGATCTTGCCTTGGTCCGATAGTCGTAAAGAGAACGTGGAACGGAGTCATACCGAACTCATCCACGAGCGGTGACTCCTCGTCCTTCGTCCTCTGTGCACACTGACCAAGTTCTTGGGCAGTGACAGAGGAATGGTCGTAACACAGCCCATGAACCGAAAAACCGTCAAAACGGCCTACCAAACCGGGGACAATAGCATTTGCTTCCTCACCAAAGCGATTTTGCAAAAGTGCGCAGTTGTCAAAAGAATCAGTGTGTGCTTTAGACCCTTTCGGAAGCACAATGTTTGCAAGCGAACGACAGTGATCAAAGGCTTCATCTTCAATCTTGATCGATTGCGAATTCAGGGGCATATTCACTGAAATCAGAGAAATACAGTCATAGAACCCATCGCGGCAAATACGCTCCAAAGAGTTTGGCAGGCTCACATTTTGCAGGTTGTGACAATGAGCAAACACCTCTGGGGGAATCTCCGTAATGGATGTTGCTGATAGATCAGCTTCTAAGAGGCCGAGGCAGCTCTCAAAACCAGATTTTCCAATCGCATTTACAGACGAAGGGAACTTGATCCTTTCGAGCGCAAGGCAAGAATGGAAAGCATATTCGCCAATTGTCAGGCGATGGGCGGAAGACGATGCAAATTCAAACTCAAGTTTTGTCATGTCCTCGCAATACCGAAAGGCATGACCCTCAATAGATTCAACCGCACCACAGATCTTGATTGCAAATAATCTTGTACAAGCGCCAAAAGCATCATGGCCAATCTTGATCAATCCTTGGGGCAGAGTTACTTCTCGCAGATGCGTACGGCCGGTGCACAAGTCATCAGGCAAAACCTGAATCCATGGATTGAAGGTCAAGTTTTGAACACGTTCTGGTACTACTTCTCCCTCGTTGCCTTGATATTGGTACTCGTTTATCTCCATCTCTTAATATACACTAACAGTTTGGGCACACCTTTCTCACATAAAATGAACGAGAAGTCATAGGTACCGGTATAGGTTGATGTGAAATATCTTAAAAATGAGATGGCAGGGTTTTTATTTTATGCTGGTGGAGCAGTTTATACTAGATCCCCCGGGGAGAAAAGAAGGGGAGAGAGGAAGAAAAAAGGAAAAGGAAAGAAAAAACGAAGAGAGAAGAAAAGAGGAGAAAGCAATAGGATTGCAATGAAGGGGCTATACAACACAGTGCTGGTTTCACGCATGGCGTCGCAAGATGACATACGCTATGATCCTGGCGTTAGCCAGGATTTAGACAGATTTAGAACGAGGTAACAATCCATGAATGTTTGATGTGATGATCGATGCGTCGGAACCGCCTACAGCAGTATTGAAATGATGTCCAAGCACCTCTAAGCGAATAACACTATCTTACATCCCTTCATATCGCAGATTAAATCAAAACTCGGAGGCTCATCGCACCGCAATTATTGGTGTCTCGAATACTTCAAGATTGGAAGCATGAACAAAGTGATGTCAGTGTGAAGACGGCAGCCCGATCTTGTGTCGACAACAAACCATTTGGAAGCAAGGTGAATGAAGGCATGAATACTGCTCGACTCTAGCAGCTGATACTATTGCTATGGTACTATTGAAACGCTTACTTATGCGAGACTTGCGAGAATCAGCCAGTAGTGGATTCGGTAGATAATCGGCGGGTCCTCAATGGACTCAACATTTTGGGAACCAAGCAAGATGAGTAAGGGCCACCACAAAGCCCGATTTCATCGCAAAGGGAGTAAATACGTGTCCCACAATTGAAGGCATGCAATAATCAACCGATTTTGAGTAAGATTCACAGGCGAAAACATAGATAAAAACAGTGCATGGTTCCTTGCTTGCCAAAGCCGCGATAGGAAAGTCGAATACAGTATAGTCATAGATGATGCTTTCAGATTCGGGTATTGTATATTCTACTCTGATGGCAATACAATCAACCTTTTTGCACCAGTTTGAGACAATGACTTGATTCCAAAGGTGAAGAGACTACTACCAAGTACTAGTACTAGTAGTATTACCTACCTATACCGGTATCAGCAGTTGATTTCACTCTGCCATCAGAGAAGTCTGAACAATACTCGACAATACATAGTAGTGCTCTATCTGTAAGATTGAAAAATCAGTTCCTATCGTTGGATCTATCTATTACCTCATGTAGTACCAGTCAATTTCAGTTGCCAACCTACTATCCCATTCTTCAGGGCAGCTCAAAGTCATCCTAGGGGATCTACAGCGCTTCCTCATCATCGAGGGATAAGGTTGGTCCTTAAGACAAGGTCTTTAGTCGTTTGATAAGACAAAGGGAAACTGCTAGGGCCGTATGGAGCTTGGACCTAACATCCCCCCTAACATCATTTGAAGTCTGTGGAGAGTACTAATTTAGTGTGGAACAGAGTTAGTCGAATCCATCATTAGTGATAGAGAGCTGTGATTGGCTCATACCACTAATAATAGACTCATCTTTAGTGAATCGACTAACTCTCATTGGCTAAAATTTCACTAAAGAGCCCACCACCATAAAACAAGAACC